TTAAGACCAGCAGCGATTATGCTTCGACAATCAAGGGAAGTGGCTTCGTCGCTTACCAAAGTCGTAATAAAATATTTTGACAGATTTTTCAGCGCAGTGTGAACATACACTGTTCATACATAAGGCGCACCGGAATATAAGGCGCATTGCCGATTTTTTTTACAAATATAGGGATTTTCTGTGCGCCTTATAGTCCGAAAAATACGGTATATAGAAATCTAACAGAAAGAAATATATCACTGTCGTGTATCATTATTCGACTTTCGGTTCAATCCATTGGACAGGCCTATTTCGTCCATCAGTATGATAATATTTATTCAAACTGTTGTGTGTGACACGTCTGTTTGGCTCAGTTCCACAGAATTGTACTCCGTGCTTTCTGTAATACGATTCTGTGGTACACAAAACCGCATACTCGTTTTAGAGAAATGACAGGACATTTCATTCCAACCATAACCCCAAGTTTTACTGATACTCACTAATCCCTGTTGTCTAACTATGGAGGTAAACTGCAGTGTTTTTTTTCACGGTAATGTTGGTATGGCTAAAAAACGGTTTTTGTACTATTTTTTATTCCACACTTTCGTGTGATGAACAGCAGACGGGCGAACCCCGTAGTCATGAGGACCTGCTGTTCAGTGATGAAACCGGGGAACTAAGCCTCGGGACTTGGTCTGGCCCCGCTAGGTTAGGCGTGGTATTGAACCGGACGACAACAAAGCTGTCTACCACTATCGTCTTCTGCAATCCCATCGAGGTGAAAAAATAAATAAATTAAAGTGTTATTCACCCTGAAAATGTCCAGAGGAAGAGCATTTAGCAGCTGCAGTACGAACTGTTTGGATGGCTTCATCCAGACTCGAACCGCGAACTTTCTGGTTCTGAGCCGAAGCGGTGGTTGCCTGGTGGTAACGTCACCAAATTATCACCCCGGAGATGTGTGTTCGAATCCCACCACCTGACTCTCCATTGTATGTGGAATGGCGGTCCTTCGATCCCCCGTTCCCCGTTCCTGAAAATTGTATCTTTGTATAATCAATAAAAGGGGGTGAAATGAAAAAACTTCAGTGACACTCGCTCATTAACCCGCACGATGAACACATGATGAATAGTTCGAGTTAGCTTATAAAATATAAATGCCTGTGTGTGTGGGGGGGGAGAGTCATACTGTGTACTGTATCTGACCGATAAAACCTATTCCCTCTTCCCCGAACTCCATTCGTATCACTCTCGTTACAGAGGTGTGCGTACCATTGCACAGTGCCTGACAATGCTAGATAAAGCGTCTAAACAACTGGACGACCTAGCCCCGGACACCACTGGAGCTGCTGATCCCGAGGCGTATCGTACCGCAGTCTACAAGCTAGATCGGGCCCGTTCCACGGTTGAACGATGCTTAGCACTACAACTGCATTGGGGTAGTTGGTGAGTTCTCGGGTGCTCTTTTATTATTTTGTTTGTTTGTTTCCAACACGTTGTGTTGTTGTTAATTCCTTTTCTGCGGAATTAGAAGGACTGCCTTCCCATGTTAAACCTGACGACAAGTGACGCGCAAAGTCCCGGTTCCAATGCAATGACAACCAAGACTGTCTCGTGATACGGTATTATTAATGCGAATTAATAAATGATATGATAAATAATATACACACCTTGATTCGTGAGGTATCTGGGTTTGGACAATCGTCAAGGCACTTCCAGATATAAGTGCATCAAATAAGAATATGATAGCGCTCGGCTGTGTCGAAATACACCTTACAATCAAGATTCTTCAAAAGGGGACAACTCACCGCTGTGTCAAAGAGAGAATATGATCAAACCAGACGGAGTCAAATAGTTGTTTGGCCGATTTGAAGTTTGTATGTCGATTGTGAAAAGTTCAGTAGCCTCGGTGGGATTCGAACCCACGCATGGACACCGCCCACGCTTTGTACG